CTAGTTATCATGGGTTTTTCCCAACCTACTGGCCTAGATCGTCAAGCACAGTCTGGTATCTGTAAACATCGTTTGTTTAGTATGGCCCACGAGGGACCACACTCCCATTGAGTTCATGTTCCACTCTATCATTTCATTTTACAAACACTCATAAGGCATTTAAAGGCCACATGAACCCAACAATAGATAGATGCAGTCAAGCAAAGACTTGGAGGAAGACCAATGCATATGCCCTTAGTTTGCCCCAACACGAAATAAAAAACAAGCAGGGGAAAATTAATTAAAAAAAACTAAGTAATGAAGCTACAAAGTCAAGGAGGTAGGTAGAAACAATGGCTCGGCTTATCTGGAATAGTTTATCTTGCAATATTAGAGGCTTATATCAGGAATCAATATGATGTTGGAGCAAGACCAATCCTGCAATTCGCAGGGCATCGATGGTCCCGTTTGTTCTAGCAACACACAGTGCGTCACTGCACTAGAATCCCCACCAATCTCTTCTGTATGGTCTGTGCACTAATTTATTGTTTTGCCTACATAAAAACCAACCCTGGGATGAAGCTTAGGAGTGGTTTCTAACTAGAATTCACATAATCATCAACTTGACGTGCTCCATAATTGGTGCGAAATTGTTTACACATGATTCCAAGTCTAACGAGATAACTCAAAAGTCCGACATGTCAAGGATCAGGTCCAAACTTAATTTTTAAAAGTCAGAAGAGGTGGGTCTTGTCAAATTTGAGTCTATGAAGAAATCAGCCTAAAAAGACCTGTTCCTTGCAGATCTATGGCCAAGCAAGCTTAGGTTTGTAAAATATCCGAAAAGAAGAGCAAAAAGAAAAGGAAAACAAGAGCATATTTACAGATATTTTCTAGAGATATAGACAATAATAGTGGAAATAAAATAAACAAAGAAGACCAAGAAGACCTTGAAGAAAAGGAAATGCAGATCGAACACACCTGAAGGCCCAGATGTCAGTCCCAACTCAGAGTTGGTCTAGAAATTTACATTTGGGTACTTGAATTGATTGAAAAGGACGTTTGCTTCTTTTTTTTCTACTTTTAGTTGGCGGGTCCTAGAATTAGGGTTTTGGTAGCCAAAGTCTAGGGTTTAGGGTTTCATAATTAAGGTTAGGGTTTTTATACTACAAATACCTGTATATAGCTGAAAGACTCCTTAAAAATAGTGGTTGGTGTTGGAGGCCAACAAGCTTCAGCAATGCAATATGCATCACTAAGCTATATGAATCCAATGACATGTCCCATGTCGTTGACAACTAATTAGTTATGCTTGATAAAAGTTCTGGGATTTTGATTATTGATTCATTTTCTCGCTAACGGCTGTTTGCAAAAATTTCTAACTTGCATTGAAATGTATCTATTTGTGAGAGTTGGTTTACTAAGTTTAGATATTAGGACACCCAAGAATAATATTTGGCTTCCTATTTTCTTGCATCTCACATCTTATTAGTCTCATCTTCTATCGTCAAACTTCTAGGAAACCTGCTTATAGGTGGTACATCCAGTATAATATCCTTTTGCCCAATTCTTGAGCTTTCTCCTTGTGCTCAATGAACCTTGTGATAGGTTTCATTTCGGTTGGATCAGAAAAACAAGGCAACAAATATAGATGGCACTCATTACTTGGGCTAATAATTCATTGATAGCATTAGATTCATTGCTCCCTTTTCTCTTTATTATAGCTTGAGAAATGATCTTATAGAACCCTCCCCTATTCATATGTGTAGGATCCGAAAGGATCATCATTAAATTTGGGAACGATCTATAGAAAAGTCAAGTCCTACATGTGATAATGTTTTTAGAGATCCGTGACAACTTTAATGGTGATCTTTTGAAGATCTATACACATGGGTGGAAGAAAATCCTATACGATCATTACTTTCGTACCTTTTGAATATGGCAAAAATTTATTGCTTTCTTTCATCTTTTTTTCACTATTTTTTTAATATTTAGTTTACTCTTCCCTTTATTCTCTAATCCTTTCCTTTTCAACTTTTCTTTCACTCCCTACAGCCTATTTTCTTGTACCTTTATAGCTCTTCTCTTTATCCCATTCACAACTATTCATCATCTCAATGATCTTTTCTTTTCCAATGTTGGCTTTAAGCAAAATCTCAAGTCACATCCATTGTCAGTTTTCCTGCCTCGCAAGCCACAGTCATCTCTTTGTCTATCCTTTTTACTTACTTTCACCTTTCCTTCCATATTCTCTTTCTTGTTTACCTTTTTTCCATCTGTTTATTCCTTTTTATTAACTTTTCCAGATTCTCTTGCTATTCTATTTTTTCACTTTCCAATAAATGTTTTCTTGTCCCCTTTCTTGCCTTTCTTTTTCTTTCTTTTATTAATATCCATAAACGATTCTCCTAATTTTCCATCTTTTCCTACTCTTTTTTCCTGATGCCTCTGAAATTCCTTTTCTCAATCTTGCAACTCTTTGTAACTAATTCTTTTTCTTCTTCAACATCAATTTTGTATTTAAATTCTCCCACCATTAAAGAAATTTCTTCGTTGGCATCTCTTCCTAGTATCTTTTCTAGTTCATATCAAATTTCACCAATCTTTTCGCCCATTACATAGTACCACTCCATTTCTTCATTTCTTCCACTTTTTTCTACAATTTCATTTAACACTTCCATACTCCATGCAATCAGAGGTATTCCAACTGCTTTGAACCAGGCATTCTCGGGTGGATAATTGATTTACACAGCTATGGATTCCTAGATTGAATTGTTAATAGCCTACCATTAACTGACCGATGCCTCTTTATTAGAATTTTATCAGTTTCTTCTATCCAAATAATTCAAATAGTACTTTGTCCCCATATTCCATTTGCACTTGGGTCATCTTTTGTCATCCTGCATTTCTTACCATCTTTGGATCTTTTGTAAGACGAAAAGGGAGGACTACTTGCTCAAATTATACTACTTTTTTATGACTTTGATGACATATCCATTTTTCTGTCTGATTATTTTCACTCATACCATCCAATATTCGAACCTAAACAACAAATCATTCTCTTAACCCTTTTGCATCACTACTTTTTTTATCCTTTGCGATAATTATATCCCCTTGTATCAACTATTCTTTTTTTCTTTCCCATCTTTTTACTCTCACTTTATTTTAAAGAATTCAGCAAAAAAGACAAAATATTAACTATATTTAAAATATTTACGGTGTTCATTACTTTTTTCCCTTCTCCTTGATGTCTAATCATTGCTTCTTTGCTACAATCTTCTTACATTTTTCTCCATTCCTTTCTGACTCTTCACGCTTCCCTGAAAGATTTTGCAGAAGCAACAAACTTGACTGTCATTTCATCACCTTCACCATCCCCTTATCCTGCCCTAGAAACCTTAGGTAGGGCTGAGAATGGGTCAGATCAGGTACGGATCCATGGAGATCCAGATTCAAATCCGAAAAGTATACGTGAGATCTAGATCCAAATATGGACCCGATTGAATCCGAATCCAAAAAGTATACATAAGATTTGGATCTAGATCTAGACCTAATTGGATAAAAAAAATACATATATATATATAGGAAAATTTTAATATAAGGTTGCAACCTTAAAATGTAGAATTACAGATGCACTAAAAATCCATCAAAAAAAGTTATTTTAATGTTGAAAAAACTTTCTAATTG